TTTTGATCTCGTAACTTTTAAATTTTCGGTTTTGAAGAAAACGGAAATGAACTTGGTGGCGGAGAAGGCGGACCAGACTGTGTATGAAGGAGAGGGAGGAGCGTACTATACATGGACACCTTCCAAATCGCCATTGTTGTCGGAATGCAAGCTTGGTGCCGGCAAGCTTATCCTCCACCCTCTTGGATTCGCTTTTCCTCACTCTTTCGATTCCTCTAAAATTGCTTACGTTCTTCAAGGTACCTTTGTCAATCATTCACATAATTAATCAACTTCATATGATAATTCACTATTCATTAATATATCTGAACACATATATGATCTTCATGTATATATAGGCAGTTGCACAGTTGGACTGGTGGCATCAAATAGTTCAGAAGAAACAGTGGTGGTGATCAAGAAAGGGGATGCAATTCCGCTGCCAAGGGGGGAGATTTCATGGTGGTTCAACGGTGGCAACACCGATTTGACCCTAATATTCCTGTGTGAAACCGCCAAAGCGCAAGTCGCCGGTGAAATGGGTTACTTTTTCTTGGGCGGAGCTCAAGGTATGCTTCGTGGATTCCAATCCGATATTGTCGCCAAAGTTTTTGATCTCAACAACAAGGAAGCTGAAGATCTTATAAGTAGCCAACCAGGTTCGTTGATCGTTAAACTCAGGAAAGGAACTGAGTTTCCAAACCCAAGTGAGCACGTGAAAGAGAAAGTATATGCCGCTATTGATACTCTGGGCGCTGATGTGGTTGTGGAAGGCGGTGGAATCATCAATTCCTTGACGGAAAAAGAGTTTCCGGTGCTTGTTGGAATGAATTTGAGTGCAAGATTTGTGAGATTGGAAGGGAAGGCCATGTTGGCACCAAGCTATGTGGCAGACGGGACGGGTCAGGTCATTTATGTTGCCAAGGGTAGTGGTCGGATCCGGGTTGTGGGTAATGAAGGAAAGCCCAGTTTTGATGGTGACGTGAAAGAAGGTGAACTTATGGTTCTTCCTCAATTTTTGGCTGCTTCTGTGATTGCAGACGAGGGTGGAATGGAGCTTTTTTCTGTCATAAATTCTTCCAAGTGAGTTTATTTTTCTTCATCAAATTTTTGGTTACGTGTTAGATAATGTGAACATTTAGTTGACGAAAACATCGGTTTACTATACTAAATCACATGTGATAATAAGCATGAGAGGATATGGCGACAGGCAGGTAGGCGAATTGACCCGCAATCTAGGTCACGCCAAAGGTCACCCACGTCTCACATAGCATCATATATGATTGATGATAGTAAAAGGGTGATTGCATTTTCGTAAAATTAATGTGTTCTTTTTTCAACCCTTCGTCCATGTGTTGATAGTTATATATTATCATCTTTTATTTGATGTCTTTTTGTTTTCTTTGCAAATTTACAATGATTATAAGCATGACACACGGGTTCATTTTTGACAGACCTACTTTCGAGCAGCTGGCTGGAAACATGTCGGTTTGGAAGAAGTTATCATCGGTGGTTTTACAATCCACTTTAAATATCAATCCGGAGCTCGAAGAACTTTTCAAGTCGAAGAATACGAAAAGTTTGATGATTATTCCTCCAAGAAACTAAATACCATAAAATATTAAAAAATGCCATCTTGAGTTAAATGTGGGAATAAATGATGTTGCTAAAAACTTTGAAGCAAGTATTGGTATCTTGGGTTTTCCATGTCTTTGTCATCATCAAGCACATGATGTTAACCGAGATAATATAACATATAACTAATCATGTGTGAAGACATGCGTGTAATATGTGTACTGATAACTATAATATGAAAATTAAATGGAAGGTTATTCATATAAATACATGTTATTAGAATTTGGTACATCATGATGGAACAAACAAACTTAAGGGGTTGTTTGTTTACCTCTTAATAGTTTCATTAAGAGACAGCCTTTAAATTGTTAAGAGGTAAATCTTGTTTGACAAAAAAAAAAGTCTGTCTCTTAAGGGTTCTAAAATCCTTTGAATGATTTTGTATAATAGGTCTCTCTTAGCCATTTAGCGTCCTAATGTCATTGTAAACAATTATCAAACAATTATATTTAATTTTGCACTATATCATGAAAGCCTCTTAATCATTCTGACCACTTAATCATTCTGTACTAAACCATTCAGCAACTGCCAAACAGCCCCTTAGATTACATGTGTATGAAGATAGTATGTACATAATTTTTAAAACATCAAGCATACGATAAGAAATAAGATACTCTTTCATCAATCATAACCAAATACAAGTTAATCAACTCTATATTTCTCTTTGTATTTAATGCATTCCACAACCTACATACTCAAATCATGACCATGCGTTTGGTTGGTTAGAATTGGAATGACAACTCTCAATATAATTAGAACAATCGTCTTTCTTTAGACTATTCCACTCATCGCCACGCCCACACCCTACCAACCACCTTGTCACTATTGTCGTCGTAACACCCATCACCCTGCCCCGCCCCTACCCAAACCCCGCCCCCAACAACCCCCACATATGGGGTAGGAGGGGTGGGGCGGGGTGATAGCTATTACGACGACAGTAGTGACAAGGTGGTTGGTAGGGTGTGGGCGTGGCGATGGGTGGGATAGTCCAAAGAAAGACGATTGTTCTAGTTCTATTGAGAGATCTCATTCCAATTCCTACCAACCAAACGCATGGTCAAATTCCATTCCAATTCCTTCAAAGTCAAATTCCTTTGATGGATTCCAATTCCATCAAATTCCATTATGTGAACCAAACATCCCCTAAAAGAGTGCCACATTATTTTTTGTTGATTTTCCTTATATATATACATATAGATTTTGATAGATTAATTGAATAAACAGTTTTAACATTTTTCGAACCAAGATCTAATTGAATAAATAGTTACATATGTAAACGTTAACCAACTAACCGCTTTTCAATTGAGATGCAAGTGCAAATGAATTAATGAAAATTGGTGATCCTAAACAAATTAATTAGCAAAATAGTAAGCGATTAAACGTTGATTGATGCTTGCTATAAAAAAACGAATAGAAAAACAATTGTTATATGTCATCTAATCAAAACAATTTGGCAGATATATATGATAAGGCAAGCTAACCTAAAAGATCGTTCAATTGGTTGGCTTTTCGGTTAGATGACCACTTTAGAGACTTGACTTCTAGCACATGACCAAACTATCAGACCATGCATGACATGTAGATAAGGTGACCAAAAGGAGGGTAGATTGAAACTATAGAAGGCATGTTGAGATAGTGATAGATGGGTTTTTAGAGTCTTAAGTAAACAACCCAAATGAGTTGTGCGAATAAGTCAGATAGACCAATAAGCCTAATTAAGCCGCAAGTAAACAGCCCCTTAATTATGTAACTTGTTTTACACTTTTACTATTTTTTAGTCTTGGTTCTTCTTTTTCAAAAAATCATTGTAATTTACCTTTTGATCTCAAGATTCTCAATACTTTTCAATTTCTTCGAATTGTATTTGACGGACTTTTTGAAATAGTTAGGGTCTTTACTTAGAGCTTAATAAAAAATTTGTTGTCTTATTCGCATATTCAAGAAACCTCACTTGTCAAGATTCAACCAACAAAATGATCCATCCTACCCCTTGTTTAACACGCTCAATACAACCCTAACGCCTCTTCTCATTTACCATCTCTTCATGACACCAATTTGTGTGACTACCTTTTGTTTCCTCGACGAGCAAATTCCCAGCAACCAGTGACACCCTTTCTTATTTGTCTCTTGGTGACCTTGCACTCCCGGTCATCTCTCTTCTCTGTTCCCATCTCGCTCCTCAAGTCTCCCTCTCTTCTCTTCATCTCCTTCCCTGATGATTCTCCCCCATAATTCAAACCTTGCATCTCCTTCCCTCATAATCGAAACCATGCATCATCAACACCTAAAATTGAAACGCTAAAAGCTTTATGGATTTTCTTGGTTTTCTGATATCTTGTTGGACTTTGACCTATAAATGCCTTTCGATCATCTAGTTTTTTTATTTCTTTTCTTGGGGCTTTGAACTTGGTGTTTTGATCTTGTTGGTTTTTGGTTTTCAGATCCTGTGTTAATTGCTATTATTCTTATTTTGATTGAATTGGTTTAAACAAAATTGACTAGCTTTTCTGCTAACTATCAGCTTATTATCCAACTCCCATTTTTTCAACTAAGTTGCTGGTAGTGGTAGATTTTTGATGCAATCACTACCATTACAAATGCGCTGGTGTTGAGATTTGTATGAAGTCACATCTTGACAACAGATTTGTGGCTTATGACTAGATGATTCTTTATGACATAACCACATTTAAATCCCCTATTCAGACATTAACCTAGCTGCATTTGCAGATTACTAAATAGAACCCACTTGTGTTGTAACTAAACCTATATATGTGGTAGCAACCATCATTTGGGTCCAAGAGAACTTAAATATCTTGAAAAATCCTTCAAGTGTTCCAATATCAGCTAATTAATGCCACCATGATTGAAGGAATAGCAACACACCTTGAAACAACTGCTACCTCACTCTGTTATGGAACCTCAAGGCCCACTGATCAACATGAAGCCCCACTCTCCAGCCTTTCACAGAGCAAAAACTGCATGGCTTCTAGTTTTGTGCTATTGATGCAACTGTTCATATAAGTATATGTTAGCTAATTTAAAGGGGAAGAACCATCTGGTACCATTATTGTCTCTATTTGACAAGTGACTTCTTAGGACAAATTCAAAACAACAATCAGGGCAAGTTTATCTTGTGGACTTTGAACAGTGCAAGCATCATGATTCATAAGTCATTCTCAACCTAAAACAAACAAATTATCGACTAGAGAACATACACAGTACTCAGAAGGGTGTTTGATGTTGAAGAGTCAAAAGCTTCTATCAATGCACTAGCCATCTCTTTGTTGTTGAATGCAAGATTTTTCCCAACTATTGAAGATGTTATCTAACAATTTGAAACATTGAACAACTATTTCCATCAGATTCAAGAAATTGAAGATGTTATCTAAGAAACAGGATCACAAGTCCTGCTTTGTAGATTATGAGTCAACCATGCATAATTTGGAAGAGAAACACAACTAAATATGTACATATATAATTCATACATAGATAATGCAACGAATGCACATATAGAACACAAAAACCTACATGAAAAGACAATATTGGTGTTTATAACTCACCTTGGAAATTTCAAACTTTATATTACTTGGAGAGGGATAGAGGGTTCATACACACTTATCTCTTGCCATTGATCCTTTCAACAACAGTGATAAGCCCTTGAGTCCCAAACTTACCATCTCCATTAGCAACCATGCCGGAAAATAGTTCCTTGCACAAAGCAGCGCCGGGCATCACCACCACCTTATCACCTTCCTCCTCCACAACATCCAAACCCATCCCCAAATCTTTCACCATGTATTCAGCAAACCCACCAGGCCGGAAGTCCCTTCCGATCATCCTTTCCCCAAATAATTCCATTACTGAAGATCCTGCAGCTCCTTGCCTCACCGCCTCCAACCACCGTCCCTTATCCAATCCGGACGCCTCAGCAAACACCAATCCTTCACTCAACCCCAACAAACTCCCACCCACTGTGATCTGATTAGCAATCTTGCAACTTTGTCCACACCCAGCAACACCTATATAATTTGGTTTCCCCATTAACGTAAACAATGGAGACAACCACTTTACAACGCCTTCATCGCCGCCGGCTAGTATGGCCAATTTTCCATCTCTAGCACCAATATCACCACCAGATACAGGAGCATCAACAGACCAGCAATTCTTCTCGCGAGCAGAATCAAAAACCTGTTTTGCAAGATTTGGGTGGCTGCTAGTGTGATCAACTATAACACCTCCGGGGTTTAAAGAAGATAGAATTGAATCAGGATTCTCTAAGACAATCTGTCGAACATCTGATGGGTGTCCCAGCATTGTGAAAACGACATCGCTTGCTTTGGCGACTTCCGATGGGGAATCGACGAGACGGGCACCTTGCGATTGGAGTGATAGGGTTTTGGAAGGGGTTCGAGCGTAAATGGTGAGGGCGTAGCCGGCGGAAAGAAGACGAGAGGCCATTGCCGACCCCATTACGCCTGTTCCTATCCATCCGATTCGGGTTTGAGATGGGGTTATGGGTGTTGGGTAGGGAGTGTTCATCGTCGAAATGATCCGCCGGAGATCGAAAGGAATTGGTTCAGTTGGTTCTCGTTGACATCATCAAGCACCAACCTTTCTCCGTAGATCATGCACCAACCATATCCGTCAGAAAGAACCCAACAGTTATGTGTTGGAAAGAGAGCATAAGTGAAAATAGTAAGAAAATTGATGCAGTTGGTTATGTCGAAATGAATAAGGTTTGATATAAAATTGATGATGTGTATTTTATCTGAATGCATTGAACAATGAAAGATCAGAATCAAAAATAGATGCAGGGGTTGTTACCTAAATGCTTATCCTGTAGGAGTTGTCTCACAGGGAATCACTGTAATTTATTTTAATGAGCAAGATTTTGGTACATCAAAATATATTCAACAATTTGTCGGGTAAATGCTTATCAGGGTAAGAGTCATAATCTTCACTTACCGGGTAAAACCTCATCATTCTCATCGCTCTTACCCGATAAGATTCTTGGTTCTCTTCATATTCATCCGATAAGGAAATTTATTCAGTGAACACTTACCAAATGAGCGTTTAGTAAAAAGTACGAATAAATTGGATGCCATAATAAATTGCATAAAGTGCCCTTGGGGTTTAAAAATCTACATACCAACCCTTTAAATGTTTTATGAACCTCTTGTATACCATACCATGTAACAGCTTCTACAGATGACCAACATTTTACATCACACTTTCCTCCTTCCTATAGTAAACCTACAAATAACAGTTCTTCCTAATTAATCGACTTGCTTCCACATCATGAACTTCATTTCCAAAAGTAGCAGTTGATGATGGTTGCCATCAAATGTTTACCATACGTTGGTATTCATTTTATTGCGTTCATGATGGTCGCAACGCGCAGACCTGCAAGAATACGGACCATGCTTCATACAACACCCCAGATCTCATGCTGGCCTTGTGAATCCGTACTTCTCACCAAGGGTTCATTGGCCTAGAAGTATCCAGTAACCCAACCTTCTTGGATGTCAATGGTGCAAGCCTCATCAAATGTGAGCAGTGTGTGTCAATTTTGCTGTATATAAATATTATATACTTCAAAAGAAAACATATAGTTTTGGATGCCGGTGTGAAAAGATCTATCTGGAAACAACTGGCATCTGGTTCATCTTTTACTGGTATCGCGTGTTTTTGACATCACATGTTGTTTGGACAAAATCTCGGCCGTTTGTTGGCGTCCAAACAAATCCGAGTTCTTGAGTATTAAATTTCTCGTGGATGGATCTACAACATACCCTTGACCACCCATCCATTCTAGCAATTGAAGTAGCAATTCCTTCTTTTCTGGTTCACCTATGTACCGTGATACCGCCATTGAAAACAAACCCTGAAATGCAAATAAACTGATTCAATCTTCTCTTTTAGAACCAAAGACGGTTCCATGAGGCAGTTTTGAATGTTTTCATGGTCAACAAACCAAAACCCTAAACCATAAACTGTACCTGACCAATGTTGTAGCCGGAGTTGTGGATGGCCTTCATCACATCATTTATTAAATTTATATTACCAAATCTCATAAACATACTAGCAAACCTCTTCATAGCGGGCCGAGAGATGAATCTTGCATTGTCCTGAAAAATTGAATTATACGTTAGCAAGTGAAACCGACAAAAAAATACATTTCCATTTGAGATAACAATAATAACAGACCTTGAAGACAACATATGCATCTTTATAAAGACGCCCGGCTATGAGAATATAAAGAACTTTCTCGTGGAGATCTTTGCACATTGGTTTCTCGCTATATCTCAACATATTGTATACAACATATGCTTCTGAATGGGCACCCGTTTTACCAAGATGAAATATTAAATTAGAACAAAGTTCCTGCAAAAAGGCGATCATCAGATATAGTATATTTATTGCAATCCTTCCCTACAAGATTATTAAAATTGCTGTGAGATTCAGAGCAAAGCTGTATGCTGAATTTTGGAGTAATTATCTAGTTTATGTTCAAAATAGAAACTGAAACTGCAACTGAAATTGGTTAACCAAACCGTTCAAAACAGTGCCAACGGTTTGGTAGCTTACACCTTAAAACTGAACCAGACCCTTTTGAACAGTTTGATACCACATATATTCTAAAACCACACAAAACCAAACCGTGCACAAAAGGTATGAAAATTGGAAAACTTTCATTCTTGAGAAAACGTCCAAGAATAAGGTCACCCAAAATTTGTTGATGAAATGCATTTGGGTCCGTAATATTCATTTACTGTGTCATTATAGACAGGCATTTTAGATACTTAACAAACGGTCAAACATTTTATTTAAACTATATGTTAAGGAGCAAAAAGATAAGAAAACAAACTACAAGCGCATAGATATATAAAATAGAGAAAAGAGAAGAACTAAAATAAAGGGGAACATACTTCATCTGGTCGTTGGCCTCTGCTGTGCATATCTTGCAAAGTCTTGTAAGCAAGCATATATAACTTCTCCTTAACGAAATACTTGATCAAAATATGAAAAGTATTTCGGTCAGGATTGATTGCCAAACTATCCATTTTCTTCATCAATTTCATCACATTCTCCATTTCTCCGGTTCTGCAGTAGGCGCACAGCATTGTGTTCAATATAACGACGTCATATTTTTCATACTTGGCTTCAAATTCTGATGCTAATTGCTTTGCATCATCAAGAAGCCCATACTTACAGAAGGCAGAAATCATTATGCTGTATGCATAGCCATCTGGATGTTTAAATATGAAAAAAGTTAGATTCAAGAACTTCACAAATCGAGTTAATGGGAAGTTATTTTAAGAGAAAAACAAGAAGAAGCTATCAAGAAAAACATCTTGAAATTGCAACATTTTCCTTTTTTGGACGTCCCGTTAGAAATAGCAATATTTCCTATTTCAGAAAGTTCTCATGTTTAAAGTTACTACAAATTTGCTCATGATCATCATTACAAATATGTTGATGGTGTTAATTCAGGTTCACAAGATTCACTAATTTTGCTTGTTATTCAAAGGTTAATTGGATACTTGACAAAAAGTCCGATAATGTCCTTAAAACTACATTGTCAATTCGAAAGCTATAATGTTCTTACCTGGTAAGTAAGGGTGACGACTCTTACCCGGTTAGCTCTTACCGCGTAAACTGTTGCATTGCATACAATGCTGTTTTGATGCGCTAAAATCGTACTTGGTAAGGTAAGTGATAGTGTTGAATCTTACTGTTAAACGCTTACCGGGTAATTGTTGGTTAAACGGCCCCTTACGGCTATGTTTGGCAAACTAGCTAAAAAGCTAGGCTAATAAGCTAGTTGTTGGTAAAAAAGTAAAAACTAGTTGATAATTTGGATGACAATATAAAATGACCTTAAAGTACATGTTACAAAATTAATTGGAAAAATACAAGGGCATAACTGACAGAAAGTGGAAGAACTCTTGGAGTTTATTAAAACACTACTTGAAAGTAGTTTTTCAATGGCTAAGCCAAAATGACTTTTTCAATAAGCTCAAAAAGTAAACTAGTTAATTGGGGCAGTTTTTTTTTTCTTTGGAGGGAGTGGAAAGAGTTGGATTTGTAGAAAAGCGAAAGAATGAATGAGCTGTAAAGGGTACGCACCTGTTTTCACATTTTTTCTCTTCATTTCAGTAAATACCAACTTAGCTTCATCTACTTGACCGGCTTTTGATAGAGCATCCATTAGCAAACAGTAGGGCATCTACAATGAAATCACAATGCAAAATTACAATTTATATGACTACTAACCAAATGCCTTAAATACCCCTGAATGGTAAGAAAGTAGAAGAATCCTATGGACCCATAAAAAATCATCAATTATTTTTATCAACGACAATGAGCAAGTAAATGATTTTAAATTGGAATCTTTCCAGGAAATCAAATGTCACAATTCCAAGGAACATCCCAAACAGAAAAATCTTCCCGCTCCACTCTTATAGAGGGTAGAGGTCAGGTTTGCGATTATCTCACCCCCCGACCCCACCTTAAGGCGAGATAGTTTGGTTTGGTTTATCCCAAAGAGAAAAATGTTGCAATTTACATGGGAGAGAAGAATTGTTAGAGAAGATCATCTAAAGATTGGATATCACTTGTGGGTATAATAACAAGGACAAAGGTACCAAAATTACCTCTTCTTCTGCATAGCCAAGAGATTCTAGTTCACCTAGCAACTCTCTTGATTTTTCAAACAAACCTCCTCTAACATACACCTTTAATAACGTTGTCAAAACAACCTGCAACACAACATTGTGAGCAAACATAGTAACTAAGTTTTATAATATTAGATTGATGTTTTTAAGGCAGTGAAAAGCATATGAAACAAACCTTGTTTGCAACTAATCCTGCTGATTTCATCTCTCTAAAAATCTCTTCGGCCTTTTCATAGTTTCCGTCCACCGAATAGGCATTAAGTAAAGAACTGTAATGGAATACATTAGGAATATGGCCTTCAATCTTCATCTGGTTAAAATAACTCTCTGCTTCTTTGCATTGATTACACGAAGCACAAACAGATATCAGAGTCCCATAAATAACACCATCCATCTGCAAACCCTTGTGCTTGAGCTCCTGAACAAGCTCTATCGCTTTTTTATAACCATCTTGGACTTTCGCACAACCTGCAAGTAGCTACGAAAACAAACAGAAAATAAGACAATTCCTCATAATTATTTGGAAGCACAAGAAACTTAACACAAATTTACGCAAGAATTATTAAGGGCGCGGGGAGCTATAAGCATACCGTACTATAAGTAATGACATCTGGTACTAGACCGTCTCGCTTCATGTGACGAAAAAGTTCCAAGCCGCTCTCGAGTTTGCCATTTTTAGTTAAACAACCAAGGACGGAATTACAGACAGATGGGTTAACCCTTGTTAACTTATCTTCTATGCCATTGTATATTTCCAGTGCCTTATTGGGATGGAGGCTCTTCCCCATGAGCTTCACATAACTACTATAAGAAGCAAAGTTTAGCTTCATGTTTTCCTGCATCCACTCGAAAAGCTGCAATATTTCCAAAAAAATACCACATTTAGTTCATCAACTATTCGAAATGAATCTTAAACATGTAAGAAAAGGTTTTGAATGGAGCTTAATTCTTGAATCAAAAACTATATACATCAACATAACATGTAATCACCTAGAAACACTATTGTTGCATTGCTCCTTATATAAAGATTACTCTTTGACACATACAAATAAAAGCATTGATTGGTGATCAGATAATTAGAACACAGAAGGCTCTTTATGAAAAATTAAGTATATATCATCGAATTGAAAGCAGCCATATTATTGCATTCATTCATGAAGGTTGCGGTGTTCAAGTTGGAAGAACCTGAGAAAGATCCTTCAATCGATTTTGTTTGCCCAAGTGACGCATAACAACATTGAAGTCTTGCACTTTCAGCACACCTCCTGACCTGGCAAAAGAAAATACATCAAATATGCTATATATATAAATTCAAAATTGAAGTATATTTCACCAACCCCATTGAAATTTTTGAGCTGCATTATACTTAATAGCAACTACTTCAAATCTAAATAAATGGGTATTGAATTTGTAACGAAACCCGTGTTGGATTTGCATTTGAGAAGAGATAAGGATGACCCTAAAGCTCAAATCGTCTTCCAAACAGAGCCAATTTGATGTTAGAGAAACCTAACACTAATAATACCTAAAATTTGAGATAATCACCTTAAAAGAGCCAATTGCAGATCAGGGGTTTGTTGGATATCGATAATAGCTGTCTGTCTAACTTGGCGGGATAACGAGATGTGCTCTTTGGATTTGGGAGAGCAATTAACTGTTGTTCCATCATGAGATTGACTTCGAAGGGTTAGACTGTTGCTGGTGGTAGTAGTAACAGAAGTTGCAGATGGAGACTGAGAATTCTTCATAGGTTTGATTGAAAAAGGAAGTGGTGGTCGCGGTACTGTAAGGAAAATTGATTGCATCCGGTGACCAAAAACAGGAGAAATCTCCATTTTTATGTCAAATTGAGTGTTGGAGTTCTCAGAAGAGATCGAATTGGTGAAAAGGCAAACTTCGTCGGTAGGAAGAACACCCGAGAGGATGGTGTAAAATTTGGAGAAAAGATTTTGGATGGGTTTAACCCGGGAAGATGAAAAAAGAGCCCCTGAAGTATAACTATATACAAGATTGATCCCTCATGTTCTCAAAACTCATTTTAAGACCCCTAAGAAATTGATATTAGTTTTTAGCCCCGGGAGTATGAATTTATAACAAGTTGACCCTTGATATTTCAAATGACCTATGCCATTTAGAGACCACGCCGAACCCCCTGTCGTTTGAATTTGCCTACATGGGTCGTCCCTTCTTCTAACGTCTGTCAAGTGGCCCCTGTTAAGTGCGCGTCACCCTCATTTTCACCATGTAAAATGTCACATTATCATCAATAACTTTTTCATATATAATTAGAGGTGTAAATGATACGAGTTGAGCTCGAGTATCACTATACTTGACTCAAACTCGAAACTCAATTTCCAAGCTCGAACTCGACTCGAAAACTCATGAGTAGTAAAGATTAAAGTTCAACTCGAACTTGATAACTATTTCTCAAGCTCGAACTTGAACTCGAATCAAGCTCGAACTTGAATCAAGCTCGAACCAAACTCACTCATTGAAATTTATGAAATTTTAGAGTTTTTCTCTTATAAATTTAAAAACTTAAAGGTGTTCTTTTAGTTTTTATAAAACTAAATAATCAACTTCAAACTTCATCATCAAAAAGACAAAATTAGAAATTTCATTAATCTCCCTATCTTTTTATAAGATTTTTTCTTCTTTTCTTTACTATCTCTCTTCCAATGTAAGACAATTTTACTAACCTTTTTTTATAGTTTTTCTTTGTCTTTTTTTAATTGTGATTCTAATAAAAAATAATTGATTAAGTTTTATAATAAAAAAATGCATAATTTTGTTTAAATATCTAAAAATACAAGTCATTTTTATTATTTATATTTTACAAAATTTATCATAGAAACTGATTATATTTTAAAACTAATTATATATAAAATAATTGAGTATCTCTCGAGCTTTTCGAGTCGAGTATTAGGTAGCTTGACTCGATTCGTTAATATATCGAGTCGAGCAGAACCTATTCGAGTCGAGTGTTGACCGAGCTTTGACCGAGTCAATCTCGAGTAGCTCGCGAGTTGTCTCGTATCATTTACACCCCTATAATCTAGAAAAACGCCTAAATTAATATTGCAACCATTAATTTAAAGAACGGTACTTTCATATCTTCTTGGCTTTATTTTGGGTGGCAATGCTATCAGTAATTTTTGTTCTCTTATTTCCAGTTGACATGTCTTCTTATGTCAGCAAGTCAAGTTTTTTTCCTGAACTTACTGCTAGATACTTCATAATTTGTTAAATTGCGTCTGTTAGTCATCAAGTTTATCGAGTTACCTTTTGATTCCTTTTGTGGTATCTGATATGTTTGACCTCATATCACTTGTTGAATCTTGATTTACATATTCTTCTGGTGGGAGCAAGATGAGGTGCGGTGAGCATTTTAAAACTTCTTATGTACATCACCAAGGTTGTATTTCCATCTCATTTTTATTCGAGAATAAGATTGTCATCTGCACATACTGTTTATCCTTTTACAAGATTTTGGTGCATATGTATATATGTATATATGTGTTGTATCTGATATGTATATCATGTTGGATTCAAGTGTAACTTGGTATTAGGTTGTAATTGAGCATTTGTATGCCTTTTATGGAGGTGTACCTCTGTGTTCACGTATTTTGTTGTAATAAAATCTGGGGGCACTCCAAATCAACTTGCAGTCTTTAGATGTTTCTGTGTTCACATATCTTTTATATTGCTTAATCTATATATATATATTAAAGGAGAAACCAAGCATAATGAGGTGACATCTTTTAATGTTTAGAACTCCTCCTAACTTTTTTCTCATTTTTTTGATTTTTTTAAATGTTGAATATGTTAAAAACTTTTTTGCCCCTGAATGAAAAATGTATAGCTCATAATTAACCCGGGTTATTTTTGTATACCCAAGTTTAACCTCCAACTCTTGATTTGCTCTTCCATTTACTTTCTTTTATTTCTTAATGAAATTTGTTTTCAAAGTTTCAATATATATATATATATATATATATATATTAAAGAAGAAACCACATGTAATGACGTAGCCTCTTCTCAAAACAAGAAAATGATTTATCTTTTTTCTCATTTTCTCAAGTTTTTCCTACCTTAATTTTTGTTTTTTATGTTTCATATTCACATTTAAGATCATTTAATTAGGTTGTTTCAACTTATTCATGTTCCCTCTAATAAGTACTATTTTAACTCTCATTATTTCTCTCTATTCGGTTATAAATTTTTCATCTTCTCTATATGGTACACCTCTATAATAATCTCTCAATTCATCCTCTCTATTCAGTTATAAATTTGTGGATGCGATTTGCATTTTTGTTGATTTGAGGTGTCATTCAATAAGACAAATCATAGTATGGGTTTTTGCTTATGTAAGTATAATATTTCTTTTTTTAGTCGGAAATATTCACATTAGAGTTGGAATTATGTAGGCATATGGAGTTTTTGTGTGTAGATAAAGTGACATATGAATCCTTGAAGAAATAGTGTAACATTGTTTAAGGAAAAAAAAAACATCTCAATTTTTCCTCTCTATTCAGTTTTTGAGGTGATTTGCATTTTTGTTTATTTGAGGCGTCATTCAATAAGAGAAATATGATATAGGTTTTTATTAATGTAGGTATACTATTTTTGTCTTTTAATTGGAGATATTCACACTAAAATTTGAATTATACAAACATATGAATTTCTCTATTAATCTCTCAATTCTTCCTCTCTATTCAGTTATAATTTTGTGGAGGTGATTTGCATTTTTGTTGATTTGAGGCGTCATTTAATAAAACTAATCATAGTATGAGTTTTTTATTATGTAAGTATAGTATTTCGTCTTTTAGTCGGATAATTCACACTCAAGTTGGAATTATGTAGGCATATGATTTTTTATTTATTTTTTATGTAAATAAAGTGGCATATGAATCCTTGATGAAATAAGTCAACATTATTTAGCATAATAATCTCTTTTAATCTCTCAATTCTTCTTCTTTATTCAGTTTTTGTAGATGTGATTTGTCCTTTTGTTGATTTGAGGCGTCATTCATGAAAACAAATATGATATGAGTTTTTGTTGATTTTGATCGGTCTATTGTGATTTTTATTCCTTTTTTAGCATTGAGCTTGGAAATTATTTTATAATATTTTTAATTCTTAAAGAAGAAACCAAACATAATGAGGTGTTATCCTCTAAACATTAGAAACCCAATTTTTTCTTAGATTTTTTATTTTTTAAAATATTTGATATATGTAAAAGACTTTTCCATCCCTATATTTAAAATATGAAATTCAATATAATACATATCTTTTATTTTACATAATTTTATTAAAACCTCTATTTTCAGGATTTTTTTATACATAAACCAAACTATGAAGTATGAACTGTCTAAAACAAATCTAAAAAGCTTGACTGTCAAATGAAAAAATAACAAATCAATCAGACTCTTATATATATATATATATATATAGACTTGGGATCATATGAGACCAAAGGTTTTTCGTGAGACCCGTAAGACTTATTTTCAACCATTGGATTAGATTTTCAATCTTGAAATTCATAATCATAAAATTGCCACGAGACTTCTCAATAATTACAGAATTGCCATCGTGCAATTTTAGACCATTAGATCATTAACTTATAAAGTTGATCAATGAACATAAATTGGTTTCACGGGTCTCACGAAAAACCATTGGTCTCACATGAACCCAACCCTATATATATATATATATATATATATATATAATGGTCATAATACTAGCTATTATTTTCACTTTATGCAATAGCATGTAGGAAAAAARTGGTTTCAAYGAGGTTCTTGACYAATGTTGCAAATGAGTATATCATGAACTAATATAAGCAAATTGCAAAAATATTCAACAATWATATYAATRTAAATAACAACACAATTATTGCTTGGTGAATATAAATATTTTATGAGAATATATGTAGAAGATAAATTGATATGTATTATGGTAAATTAATTCTCTTAATACACCTCGTGATTATATATATATATATAACATTAAAAGAACAACCAATAATGATAAGTTAGATTTATATATCAAAGTATATATATATATAAATATAATATATTAAAAAAACAACCAATAATGATAAGTTAGATTCATATATTAAAGGTAATATTGATTATATTAGTTTAATATATAAATGTAATCATCGACTCATTTAGCTAATTTCAATAATTTAAAAAAAAATTTATCGTCATCGTGCAACGCGCAATGTTAAACACTAGTACAAATTAATGAAAATTCATATTAATGTTGTTTTCGTTATACCATTAAATTCATATTATTATGTTAAATCAAATTGTTTTTATTTAAAAAACTTTTAAATTGATTTTCTTTTATAATAAAACCATTTATTTTCAAAAATTTATCAACAATTGTTTTATTGAGACAAAAACATAGATTGGGGTAAAATGGTAATTTATGATATTCAAATTGTTTATTCAACACAACCATCAAACACTTTATTTGTTATCATACAGACAACCTTATCAATACAGCCAACTTTATCTATACATGTCTTAGGAAATAGAAGTTGTTTGACAGTTGTTGAATGGTTTGGTGCAAAATGATTAAGTGGTCAAAATGATTAAGAGACTCTCATGATACAGTGCAAAATGAAATATAATTCTTTACAATGAAATTAGGGCGCTTAATGGTTAAGGGAGACCCATGATACAAAATCATTTAGAGGGTTTTAGAACCGTTAAGAGACAGATTTTTTTTGTTGTCAAACAAGATTCATCTCTTAACGATTTAAATGTTATCTCTTAATGAAACTATTAAGAGGTAAACAAACAAGCCTTAATTGAAAAACAAATCGAACAACATAGTTAATATGCTAAAGTTTGTTAATTAGGATAAATAACTCTTTGTTATGGAAAAG